TCTTCTTCTTCTTCTTGCTTCTTCTTCTTGCTTCTTCTTTCTTCTACTTCTCTTCTTCTTCTTCTTCTTCTTCTTCTTCTTCTCTCTTTCGTTCTTCTTCTTCTTCTCTTAAATGGTTTCTACCCTTAGAGTTGCCGTTTTCATTTCCATAATTCTTGGTCCTCCCATTTGACCCTCTTTCCAATCCTTTCTCCTCCATTTAACTATCGTATATATATATTTCTTCCAGGTTAAAACCAGGATTCTACCTCTTCTACGACTTCTTTCAGGTATCCAATTTATTAATTGTTTTGGCCATCTCTCATTTCGCTTCCTCTGGACATGTCCATACATTGAAGAAGCCTTTATTTCTTAGTCTTCTGGCTTATGCTTGTTTGAACCCCAGCTCCTTCCCACCACCACTTCGTTCCTGTATTTTATCGCAGGCTTGTTATCTGAAAAGATCTTCTCATTAAAGTCGAAGCCTCCTACCGACCGTTTGTCCTCTACCCGGCTTTGTTAACGGCCACATTTCTGCTCCATAATAAATAATACTTCTACGTACTGTGGAATATGTGTCCGCTTTGTGGTGCTGGCCTTAAAACACTTATTCCATATAAGGCCATGGCAGAGCTTAAAATTGGCATTCCTTGCCCCCATTGCGAGTCTAGTAGTTATATCTTCATCAATTTTTCCGTCATAGGTAATACAGCTCCCAGAGATTTAAATTTCGAAACGCTGAGCTATCTCGTTATCAGCGACATTGATATTAGAGCATTCCTCCTCCTATCATAAATATTCTGTCTTTTTTAAGCTTGATTTTTAAGTCCCCATTTTTCGTATTCTTCTTTTAATTTGCGGAAGCATTACTCCTTATCGTTCCCGATCTGATGCCATAATTATCTGATCTGCAAAAACAAAGATGTAAACACTTGTTCATTTATGGAACTCCATTTAGACATTTCTGTTGTACCAGGTTTTCCAAAGGCTTGTTCCACACCAACACAACAAACAGCACAACACGACACAGCGCACACGCACACACACACCAAACACAGGCACCCCGCCACCCGACATCTACGCACACGCTACACCACACACGACTCGACTGATCAATCATCACTAAAACAATATCTCAAAATATACAACAAAATACTTTAAAATACATGTTCTATGAAGCCAAAACAGTATTCATATAGTTCTTCAGTATCAGGTCTTCAATATACACACTTTCAGGCACTGAAAAGGACTATTAAATAACTTCGGATATCTCTATACAAACATTTGAACTAGAAATGTAACTATACTTACAAAAGATTTTCAGATGAAATTTTGTGAACAGTCCAACTGCATTTCAGACCAAAAAGATATTACATCAATTTCCTTCTTACTTTTGGACTTGAGATTGTAATGAACTGAACTCGGCGGCAGGTTTCGCTCTGCCTACAGAGTAACATTACATTGAAGACTCTTTCTGTTCAGATACCTCATCTGATGCACAAACTAGGAGCTGCCAGTGCACTCGTTGCTATTTGATCCGACAAGTACTTTGATGGGTAGTTTCCACAAGAAATTGTCAAGGTATCTTTTCTGGGATTTTCGCAGCTTTTTATGGCTGTATTTTCTACCTTATTTCTTCATTATCAACTTCTGGCATCATGATCGATTTTCATCTTTCTGCAGATAAACTTTTTTGGAAAGCCTTCAGATTGCATCTCATTTTCCTTTCTCTAATTTAATTGTTTTTTGCAGAATTATCCTTTGTGTGATTCGCTTTTCATTTCTATATCACATTCTTCTACCCAGCAACAGTATGTTGGATCTCTCTTTAATATCATTTTGTAGTCGCTACTCTGGACAACTTATTAGGAGAGGATCGGAGATCCAACTTTGTCACAAGTAGTCACTGCTTCCATGGGCTCTTCAATAATTTCTTGAGATACGATTTCCTCTACTGCCTGATTTTCTTTGCTGCCGGGATCAAGTGTTGAAGTCTCATCCGTCTGCATTGGTTCAGTTCCATCTTCCCCAGTAGGTTTCTCCACCGTGGCCTCGGATGAACTTACTTCTCTGGAACATGTAACATCAGTAACACTTTTCAGAGGATTTCCATTATTCACTGCTTCATTATGAGTTGTAGTTGCAGCTCTAGATTGTACTGTCTGGCAAATGGGCTTTTTAGGATCTGAAATAGGGGTATTTGTGACACGTTTTCTTGGGCTAGACAGAGTTATGAGAGCAATTCTTCTTGGAGATTTCTTATCTTTAATGTGAGTGGCTACTGAACGTGTTGCAGAGTTCTTGTCTTCATTCTCTGAGTGAATGTGAACTGTTGTAGGCGTGACAATGGTTTTCAACTCTGTTTTGTTGGTGTCCTGAGTATTTTCCTTCTCTTTAACTGAATCACAAGCAGTGTTTGCTGTAAGTAAACCTTGCTGGCCTTGAGAAGAAACTTGGATTGAATCAGATGGTCTCTTGTCTAGGTTTGGACATTCGTTTTCACTTTCCACATTTGTACTACTTAGTTCGTATATTTCACCAAGTTCCTCCTCTGAAAAGGTTATGATGGAACAATATCCGTCAGTTGAGGATGCAATTAATACTTGACCATCGCTTGACCTGAAAAGAAATATTTATTTTAGTACTCTTGAAAGAAAATTTAAGTAAATTGGAGCTGGAAATAGTAATGGAACGTGTTGGATAACATGATTATATAAAAATTATTTCTGAGACTGATGATTGTACTGCATTTGCAAGAAACTCCAATAACTTTTCATCGTTAAAAAAAAATTGTATTAAATTAAACAAAAAAGGTGTTTGCTTTAACAGTTTCTGATTTCTGCAGAATTATTATGTTTAAGTTTCCACCCATTTAAAAACTAACTGACAAGATGTTCCTCCCTGCTAGTAAAATACAGAGAACAATGATTTTTACCAAGGAAAGAAAATACATCTTACCAGCTTAAATCTGTTAATCGTGTGTAGTGGATGTTGGTAATCAAAGCAATTGGCTCTGATTGCTGAGTATCATACAAAATGACATTAC